ATCAACTAGTTCTTTGTGGTACAATGACTGTGTGTATTCTGCCCATTTTCTTTGATGCTTCCTGCATCATTCCATTTGCTCTGAGAATCTTTCAGTATTAAAAATTGAAGCTTGATTTTTTTTTTTTTTTAGTTCTTTCAGTTTAAGATAGAGTGAACATATTCTTCCTTTTTGGATTTCTGACTCTATGTCATTGCACATTTCATGAACATATTTTACCTTTTCTTCTTCAGCTACCCTTTGAAATTTTCTATTCAGCTCTTTAATGTCTTCATTTTTTCCATTTACTTTATCTACTTTACAATTAAGAGCAAGTCTCAGCATCTCTTCTGACATCCACTTTGAGCTTTTCTTTCTTTCCTGTCTTTTTAATGACATTTTGCTTTCTTCATGAGTGCTGTTCTTGATGTTCTCCCACAGCTCATCAGGTATTCCGTCATTAGTGTCCAATGCATCACATTTGTTCTTGATATGTTCTTAAAATTCAGGTGGGATAGACCCAAGGTCATATTTTGACTCTCATTGACTTGTTCTAATTTTCTTCAGCTTTAACCTGAACTAACATAAAAGCAATTGATGGCCTGTTGATCACTCAGCCCCTGGCCTTCTTGATATAATTCTTCTTCATCTTCTCTTCCCAAAGTCTATCACCAGACCCTACTTTTTCTTCCTCTTTGTTTCCAATTGTCAATAATTATCAATGCATCTTGATCAATTTCAGATTGAAGACATCAGTATAATTCTTCAATTTCTTCATGACTAGCTTTTGTGGTTGGTACATAAATTTTAATAATAGTTGCATTGATTGGGTTTCCTTGAAGGTGGGTAGATAGAATACTATCAGAAACAGCATTAAAAGCCTTCAGTATCTGACACTGTTTCAAAGCCACGCATAAGGTTTTCAGAGGCTGCTTCCTCTAAAGTGGGTAGCTGATTCCTTCTTCGTAGTCTATTCATAGTCTGTAAACCCTGCTGAAACCGATTCACTTTGGTTGGCCCTGTAGACATTTGAAATAACAGTGACATAGCTTTCAGCATCACATTAACAAACAAGCCAACACAGTATGACAAACTGACAGACCAGTAGTGACCATCGGGGATAGAACAAACTAAAAATGAGTCAAAAACAGAAATCAAATGATAAGGTCTTGCATTTTAACCTAACTATGCTTTCAGCAATGTACTACAAGGGCAAGAATATTCACAACCCCGGTCAGTCAGTGGCCTGAGGGAATTCGATGGAGGCTTAATCCTTATGGGGACTCTGCAAATGAATTTGGGGACTTTCACTGTAATCCATAGCCTTCTACATACTGGGTGCTCAGGCTAAAGGTTAGGATAAATGGAATGATCTTAAATGATGAATTTCTTGCATAAGAATTAATAATCATGGTTTTGAGGGATACAGACCTTTTATCCTTCCAAGAAAACCACTTTCATTATTTTCTATAATTTTGATTATCAACCCATATTCCATTTCTTGTCTATTTTCATTTTCTAATGAGAACTTTCAAACACTAATTTTTTCTTCCCATTTCCTAAGTGCCCCGTGTCTTAAATTCTACTCTTCTTTGTTCTACGGGTTTATTTACATGCCCCTTTAACAAACAATAGTACAATTAACTCGCAGGGCGACAAACTTAGAAGTGTTACACTACTGCATTTCACACTTTCACCGTCATTCTCAGTTTTCCACTTGCCTTGACCCAAATTAAACCTAATGGGAATATTATATGGAGTGGTGTCCACCTTAAAAGTTATTCTGGCTTGTTTATTTCCTTGTTTATTTGTGTATTTGAATTTGAGGAGTGAAATGGAAGTAAGACTAGAAGGATGAGAAAAGAATGTAATTTTCATTAAAAATTGTAATTAAAAAATTGTTATTTTCAAATGAGGACGTAAAGATGCCTCTCCAGTTTCTGGGCAAGTGAGAACTCTTCCCACCTCCTCTCTCCTTTCTTCCCTCCCCCACTCCATAGCAAGAAAGCTGACTCCTAGGTGTTGGGGATGCATCAAGTGTTCAGGTATTATTGCAGGGGCTGAAGGAAGTCCAGCGTGTAGTCCCTCTGGGCGCTTGGGAACTTCTCTTATTTGCGGTGATATTTGCAAATGTCTGAAGGAAGGAAGAAACACGATTTTCTCCCTTTTTTACTGTCTCTCACATCCCGCTTTTAAATTCTTTCTGCTAGACTAAGGAGAGGCACGATTTTTCTGCCAGCTTAAGTGACAACATTCTTTAAGGGTCTTTTAGAATTTGCATCCCTGCTGACTTCATGCTGCCTGTAAAATTGAACTAAAGAGCACCAGGGAGCGGGCTAAGAAAACAAAATTAGAGTTTAAAAAGACAAAACTACCTAAGAGCTGGTGATTCAAACTTAAATTCTCACATTGAGGATTTCAACACTGCATTGCAAATGAAACTTTAAAAAAAAAGTAAAATCAACCTTCCAGCACGATTAGGCAAAGATCAGGGTTTAAAAGATCAGTGGGCTTTCCCCCAGCCCTTCGCACAAGTTTGCAGCTGCCCGGAAGGTGACAAACGGGTATGTTTCTGTGAGTCAGAAATGGCACAGTGACCCCCCACAGTTGATGCAGATTGCGGCGCGAAGGCTGATCGCTGGAAAGAAAGAACTCGGGTAAAAAACTGGTTTTCGAGGGGCAGAAAAATCGACAAAGATGAAAAATTAAAGCTTGGGAGGTTGTCTTCATAGCGGACTAAAGAGACAGGTGCGGAACTGACTTCTGTTCCCACCCTGTCCCAGGAGACCGGACACATCACCCAGCTCGCGAGCAGCCGGCTACGCAGTGCGGTCTGCAGTCCGGGCGCGCGGAGCCGGCGCTGGACCGCAGCCGCGCCGCCCAGGAACGCGCTCGGCTGCCGCAGCGCCCAGGCCGCGCGCTCTGCTCCGCGCGGCTCCTCGCTCCGGGTTTCCGCGGTCACCAACACGCGGCGGTGGAGCCCGGCGGGAGTGGACAACCGCGAGCTGAGTCCCTGGCGTCTTTGGAGCGCTTGCCTTTACTTCGTAGCCTTCTCAAAGAGTTTGACCCAGAGAAGCCTGGACTGGGCTCTGGGACAAGCAGGTTGGCGTTGAGAAAGAGGCTGTGGCTTAGGCTTCACTACCGGAGGCTCTCAGCCTCGAGAGAGCAAGTCTTTGATTGCCAAACTAATCTATCGGAGTTTCTCCTGCTCTCCCATTAGGTAGCCTAAAACTGGACTCCCCAACTTGGATTCAGGAGCCGGCTGCCTCCTGTCCTTGAAGGTTGGACACTCTAGAGCCGGGTTCCCCACCCCCAGCACACAAAGGTTAACTGCAGGTTTCCTGAATGTGCTAAGGTATGTCTGTGTAGAGGGGATTTGCAAATGGTAAAGCACTACTACACTTAAAGGAGCACATCATTCTTTTTTTGTTTTGTTTTTTAAATCATTTTATTGGGGGTTCGTACAACTCTTACCACAATCCATACGTTCATCCATTGTATCAAGCACATTTGTACATTTGTTGCCATCATCATTCTCAAAACATTTGGTTTCTACTTGAGCCCTTGGTATCAGCTCATTTCCCCCCTCTCTACCCCTCCCCAACACATCATTCTTAATGGCATCCTAAGATTTCTCTTCCCCCCAAAATAAAATCCCTTCCTGATTGTTAACCCCAGAGTTCTTCCCCCACCCCCACCCCTCTCCCTGAATTTCTCAATGCCTAGAACAGTACCTGATACTCCGTAGGTGTTCAATGAATCATTGTTGAATGAATGTACGTACCACCCACTGGGAGGATGTGATCAGGTTGGAAACATCTGGGGATCCTTTTTTTTTTTTCCTGGTAGAGAATCAACCAAACATTTACTGGGCACTACTGCTTGCCAAGTCTTCTAGGCTTTGGCAGACCAGTGTAGAGCGGCGGGGGAGGGAGGGGGTTGGCAATCGGTCGCATCAGCCAAGGACAGAAAGAGGACTTTTAAAAACTGGCATCACAGTATCAACAACTCTGGATTTGGAGGCTGGCTCACCTCATAACCTAAAACACATCACCAGCATAATTCAGTAAATATGTATTGCTTAAATACATACAGAAGGTGATTATGGGCTGTTATTCAAGTTCGCACGGATTAAGCAGCCGACTTGGGGCCCAGCTTTCTTCAACACACACTTCTTTAAAGTCTCCTCTGGCCCAGGACCATGCTGGACCATGCTTTAAGGACACGGTTGTCAGTACTCTCAACATTAAACCCGCTGGTGAAATGGCCACGGCAGAAAAAAAAACGCGCCATAACTCTTCCTTCTGTGAGTCAGGGGAACGTGCTCACAGCTTGCTGGGAAGTTTTCCTTCTCAGAAAGAGATTTCTGTAGTTCTCCTTCACTTGAAAACAAAACAAAACACAAAGCCATTTGCTATCCAGTCGAAAGCGACTCTGACTGTAATTCTATGGGACAGACTGCAACTGCCCTATAAAGTATCTCTACAACGCTAGTAATCATTAAGGGAGCAGAGTGCCACATTTTTCTTCCACGTAGGGACCTTTCAGTTAGCAGCCGAACGCAGAACCATTGCGCAAACACGGCTCCTTTCTTTTGCCTTACAGCTTGGCAATGGATTTGGTCTGGATGTTGGCTAGGGAGGAGACTGGCGGGAAAAGCAAGGTCCACTTTCTGCCTGTGGCCTGGGCCTTCTGCTACCTGGAAAAGAGCCCGCAGGCTGGGCGGGGCTAGCCCGGCCGGCCCGCCCCCTGGTTTGTCCAGGTGCGGTTTCATCTTCTGCAGCGCTCCCTTTTCCCACCTACCATACTTTCCTTTAGAGCTTTTGTTAAAATGCGGAGATGCGGATTCCATCCGCGGTAACTCCGAGCCCCTCCAACTGAGCATGCGCCTAGCAGCTCCCGGTCTCTGACTCCGGAGCTCCCCAAGAAACCGCTGCGGAGCTAGAAGAGGGCGGAGGGAAAAGGGAGGGGGTGCCGGGAGAGGCGGAGGCTCGCGCGCCTGCGCACCCAGCTCCAAGGACCTGAGGTTTTCTATGGGATTCCCAAAGTGCTGCAGAGATTTACCGGAGCGTGCGGCGGCAGCGGCGGGACAGACACGGCGGCATTCGAGAGGGATTTTAGCCACCCAGAGCTCTGGAGAAAAAGAGCGCAAACGAGCCACCCAGAGACGGCTTAACCGTTTATTCGAATTAAATATATATATACATATATATATTTAAGAGGAAAAACAGATCTTGAGTTTTATCCTTTGCTTTAAAGTGACCGTGCGCAGCGCTCTAACTGTAAGTGAAAAATACAATCTTCGTTGCCTTTTTGCATGTGTAGCGCAAACAATTGTCAGGGTGATGCTTTGGCTAGTGCCACCTGCTTCGCTTAGATGCATCTAAATGCACAGTGCCAATTGTTTCGGTTAATTCCGGCCGTCGAGATGTGCTATTAGTCGTGAGGGACCTTTTGGAATAGTGGAGGTGGCAGAAGGGGTGTGTTTATATGCGGTTTGGGGGGCTGTCTTGGATGCCTAGGAGATAGCTGAGACTGCGATGCTTTCTTCGTTTCTATCTATAAATAGACAGGTTTCCTTCCACAGATGGAAGTAGCTAATTGGACGGTTGTGAAGTTTTCTCGTTGCGGAGAAAACTATGGAGCGGATGTAATCCAGTAGCAACCGACCGTCCCTGCGGTGGGTGCACCATTTTTCTCACCGTGGAAGAGGAGCAGAGGGGGCGGCTAAGTAACATTGAATTGGGCATGATGAGAGGACCATCAGGGCTGATAGCAAAGAGGGATGTGAAGTGTTTACAACCCACGGAGCTAGGTAGGCGTCACAGGACCACCATTCCCTCTTCGTCTTAAAAAAAAAAGATTCTCCAGTCTTTCGCTTTTCAGTTTTCGTCTTGTTGGTCTTTGGCCAGATGAGGAAAGACGTTGGTTCTCGCCACACAGTCAGCAGCGGTTGAAAGAGAGACTCCTGAGTGGCTGAATGGGGAGCCTGGGGCCCAAACTAGTTACCTGCTTTTGCATTCCACATTGTCATTCTGGAATGCGTGATTGAGAAACAACGCGAAGCCAGACGTTAAGTGGTGTAGTGTTTCTTTAGAGGAGAAAAGGTCGTTTTGTGTTTTCACTTAAAATGGGTTGTTCCTTGCCTCCCGGCTGGAAAAGGGGTGTCTGCAAGGTCACATCCCCGCGGAAATGAAATTGCTGAGTACCCTCTAGGGGTGCTGGTGAAGGGGGGGGGGACGGGGACGGGGTGAGGGGCTTGGGGATACTGCAGGAGCGTGCTCAGCCCTGCGCGGAGCTGTGCCTATGAGCGTGTGGGAATCCATTTTTTTCCAGAGTTGCCCTCCTGTCCATATTTTGGAGACTGCGAAGAGATGGCAATGCAGTTGGGTGTGGGAAACAAAAGCTGCCTGCGATCTGTGTCACTTCCCACTTGAGGGAAACATATCAGGTGTTTCGTTGGTGCTTATTAATTTTGATGAAGGGCGTTTCTCATAGAAACACATCCAAAAGGAAACTCTTGTGGAAATGCATTTTACCTCCACCACCTTATGAACTACGGGTGTGTGTGCCCGCTGCAGGGAGGCATCCTGCATCACTGCACACCCTCCTCATTAGTGCATGCTCATTAAGCTTCGAGTGTTTAATAACCCCAGAAAATGCTGCTCTGAAACAGCTTGGTAGACTGGAATGATGCAGGCAGATGAGAGAAACGCGTGGAGAGTGTATGACCATAGCTGCTGGATTTCCAGGGGAAAGCAGGTCCAATCTGGGGGGGGGGGGAGGCGAAATGAAATAAACACATCATCAAAGAGGGCAAATAATCACAAGGTTTTTACCCCTTTATAAGTCCAACTGTTCATGGGAACCTCTCACAGGAACTTATCATTTATTTAGATGGATGAGATTTGAATTGAAATTTTGAAAAAAGTCTCTCCGTGGAAATCCAGAATATAAATCACACTGCCTTCTCAGTTCCTTCCTTCCTTCCTCCAGGTGGACACGCCAATCATTTGTCACAGTTGAGCCATATTCCTTGTCATCCGTTTGGAGTTGCACTGGTTCAATGATTAGCACAGGTGTTGCGCCGCACTGTTAATGAGTGGTGGGAAAGAGGGGGTGGTGTCTGGTATTACATTTCATTGATATTTGGTCTTGGATTCCCTGACTCATAGGCTGATAGTACTAGTGGGTCAAATTAGAAGGCATCTCAGGCAATCCCCTAGTTTTGCAGAGGAGGAAACTGAGGTCCAGCGCTATCAAGCTAGAGAAAAGTCAGTTGGCTTCTAGACTATGGAACAAGACATGGAAACGTCATGTGCAAAGAAAATCCTCCCTTCCTTCTGCCCTTTCCTGCATCCTCAGTGACATTGCTGCAGTGTCCATATAACCAAGTGCTGCTTCGAGAGGGTCTCCAGTGGTCCTTTTCAGATCACCAAGCTTCGATGCTCTGCATTCTCTTGCCTTTGAAAGTCTCTGTCCATCTCTCTTTTGCTCCTCACCTCTAAAACTCCCACCCCAGTTGTTGTTTACTGTGGCCTCCCTGGTCTCCTCTGCACCTCCACTGATTTGGAATTCTCCATCAGCTGGATTCTGCAGCTCCTGTTTGAGGACGGGTCAGGCCAGGCTTTTTTCTCTAGTGCCTCTGGGTGCACCAGAACAGAGGTTCACCAGAATCCAGCAGTGAATCCAGCCTTCAGAGATACTGCAAGTGCCATCGCCACTCTTCCCAAACTGCTGCAGCTACAGGGATTTGGACCTGGTGGAATGAGCTTGCTGCAGTGTAAACAGTACAGGCCCTGCCAGCTCTCCCTAGAAGGTAGAATCCTAATCAGATCTACCTGTCTCCAGCTTTCATGGAATTCCCTCAAAGTCACCTGCAGAGAAGGGGAAGGGGTGTGGGGGGCAGGGAAAGCAGAAGAAGAATGCTTGACTGGTTTAACCTGAAGAAGAAAATAGTGCAGGTTTTAGGAACCTTTAGAGCTTTTAAAGCACACACATAGCTTTTTGTTGGACTGGGTTTACTGCACAGAGGCAGTAAAACAGGCATACTGGCCTACCTATTGGCCTGTCTTCTCTCCTTCAGTCTCTCTCCTTCATTCCTTCTTACCTTCCTACTTTTCTACCTTCCTCCTAAGAACGTATGAAATACATTTCTAGGCCTTTTAAAGATAATCTCTGCACTCTGGTTTCTTCTCCAGATATAATATCTCAGGCACTCAGAAAGAAAACCAAAACCATATCAAATTTCCCCTTAGGGAACTAACTTGGATTCTTACCTGTGTTAGCTGTCTGAGGAGGAGAGGTTTAAAGCATGAGAGGTCAGGCCAGCAGTAGGCAGCTGAACCCTCCAGGAAGTTGTTAAGCAAGTTGAAATAGGAGCAGTGAATTTCAAAGCACTCACCAATTAGCAATTTAATTTAATTCCACCTCTATGGTAAACTTTACTGAATTGGAATAAACTTTATCTTGAATACTCTGTATTCCTACTTATTGATCTCAGCTCAGGCATCACCTGGTCTTGCAAATGGATTATGAAAACAGCCCTTCTGGACACCAGTCATTTCGGCAGTTATCCAGAGACTCATGGTTGCTACGTGCCCTTCATGGATTAGGATACTATGAATCACATTCTGTTATAGAATTGTGTGATTAGCTATGTTTTTCTGGACAAGCTAGAGGTTACCTCTCAGGATAGATTCAAAGCGTCACTCAGGAACTGCCTGCATTTTCATAGAATGACCACACAATATCAACGTCAAATGTGTGGTTTCCTAATGGGTGAGAGCAATGTGTTTTCATATTGCTCTATGTCTTATTGAGTGATTTCTATTCTCCTAAAATTAGTCACTGCTCAGGGAAGTTCTTTTAATAGAAAGGATCACATTCAGTTGATCTAAGGTTAAAATTGACAGTGACATATATAGTATATATACACATTAATATTCTTAAAGTGTCACGTGGCACAGTGATGCATTAATGAATAACCAGCCTATCCCATTGGTTAATTCATATAGTTAATAGAATGTGTGTGCCAGATGCGACACATATACACGACCCAATCCGGTATCAGTACAGTATATAAAAGAAAAATTTTTATCTTAAAGGCATGTCTCAGTATTAAAGACATAAAATTATCGTGAGATTGCAATGTTAGCAGCCATTTTAATGTTTCCACATTACGAGTGCAGTGACTCTCATAGTCGGTACTCTATACTACATCAACTGAAGAGCTATTCCAAAAGAAACTGCTGACGGTGCCTTGTTCATTATAACAGGAAATGGAATCCTTTCTACAAAAACTATGGCCCTTGTAATTTAATTTCTAGTGTACCTATAAGCACACTATATTAATAATTCTGAGTGCTTTTTAATTCTACTTATATACATATATTTTTATTTATTTACATGAATTGACAGTAGTAAGCCTAAGAAATTTTATAAAACTAGACTGTGGTGTTCCACTTATTTAATGATATAACCTTCTGAGCTGTTTTCACCTGTTTACACAGAGAAGGGACCACGATGCTGTATTTCTAATGTCCAGTTTGTTTCTAAAGATCACATATGCTTTCTTCAGTGAATCAAAGGAGTTTGAGTTGCTCCCAGCTTGATTCATTGAGACTTTTCCAAATGGAAAGATCTCGGAGCTTCTTTCAAATGCACCTAATGAATGAAACTGAAATGCAGTCACAAATTACTGAAGAGACCTCAGAGAGAGGTGACATTATAAGAAGGTGCCCGTGAATGCACTAAAAAGATGTTCTCTACCCTTCTCAGCTAACTTAAAGCATGAAAAGCGGATAATTTGTCATGCTTCTTAAATTTTCTCTGGATTTCACCAGGGCCTGGCTTCGCTGGACTCACCACATATATGAACTATTATGCTGTTACCAATGACTTATTTTTCAAAATGATAATGCACGGCAGGTCCACCCATTGATGATCCATCTATTTCCTATGTTCTAAATTACAACCAATTACAGCTTGGAGCCATTCACAAGGGGCCTTCAAGTAGACTGTATTTCAAAAACTCACGGCTGAACTTTTTATTAAAAAAAAATGTTTAAAGCGTATATGATAAAAGGAAAAATATTTTCAAATGATCTGCATTTATTTGTCTTTAAATTCTTGCTCATATAGGGTTTGTTTTTCTTTAAAGTCTTAATTTTTCAATTTTTATTTTTCTTTATAATTCTTCCTCATATGGGGACTTTTCAGAAAGATGGAAATATGTCATTAATTTTTTTCCCTTTCTTTGGATCTTATAATTTCCCAGGCT